GACATGAAGGGGAAATTTCTAATGCTATTTAAGCATGCACTATTTGTAATTTCTTTTCTAAAGCATCATTGGACTCTGTGATATTCTGTGCGCACATCACACCCATCTCACAAAAAACAACATTTAAACAGGCTGCAGTAGTGCCCGGATTCACTGTTTCCAACATGAAGCTGGAATGACATTTGAAGCACTAGTTATGAACCAAGCCTGCTTCTTGGTGTCTGCTCTGTGCATTAAGAGAGCAGACTGATGAAGACCTTAGGATATAGCAGTGCATTAAGACACTGTATGTAATTTACAGAAGATATCTGTGTGTTTTTGTAGCAAAGCTGTGTGAGCAAAGATCAAATATTTATAATATGGTATTTATAAATTATTGACATTTTAGACAATATTCTAGCAAATAGTTTCCTTCTATATGTTACCTCTAAAATCTTGCAATTTGTATCACATTTTACTTAGTGTTTACAATTATGTCTAATGATATCTAATTACTCACATATTTAACTATTTTAGGCATCACATATCATTGGAAGTGTATTTATTTAAGTATTTTTGATAGGTTGAAGTTGTTGTCAAAGTAAAGGACATTATCAGTTCTAAACCTTCTTCATTATTAGCACATGTCTACTTGATTAGCCACTGAAATGTAGGTTGTGATAGTATGAAACCACTTTGTATCAGCACATCTTTCACCACATCTTCTTTTTTCTATTCCATCACTCTCCCTGCATTTCTGAAGTTTGCATAGATCATAGTTATATGTGCATGACACACCATGTCTTCTCCAGAATGCTGAATTATCCCAGTTGATTTTGTCCTTTGTGTTCCCAAAGTATGCCAGTTCTTACAGTGAGATCCCTGTGATGTATTTATGATTCAGAACATTCTGAGTTAGACCAGTGGTCATGAACTAACATTCTAGAGTCAGATGGCTAAGTTCACATATATTTAGCTTTCCAAAACAAATAAACAAACAAACAACAAAAATACCAAGATTTGTTTATAGAACCTAAAGAAGAAATAATGTGGTCTTTGGAGAAATGAGGTAATATAGAATACCTAGGATATTAGGATAATCTAAAATCTAGGATAGAACATACTTTGCTTTATCTAGAAAGAATAGTATACTTTGACTTACTAGCAACATGACAACAGAATTTAAGGAACTGATAGGAAAAATAACAGATAAAAGATTAGAATGAAGAACAAAGGAACGAATGTGAAGTCCAAGTACCGTGAGTTCTAATGTGTTTTAACATTCTGTCCCTCCTTTCAACAGCCAATGCAGTACAAGGTCTTTTTACTCACAGCTTAGGTCCTCTCTCCTTCCTACTTGGCTATGGAGTGGGTTTCTATAAAAAAGAAAACAAAACAGTAAATTTGATAGATAGTTATGACTGAGGTTTTCCGGGTTAGGTATGAAGACAAGGAATGATAGGAACATTTGATGTCCTAAGTGGTTATGCATGGCAGGACTTCATTTTCAAAGGAAGATATTTAAATTCTGCTCCTTGTGGGGTTCTCAGATGTAAATGTACTTTTCAGTGTATGCTTCTACACACTAATGCATAAAGTGGAAATTGTTATGATAGCTTTCCTGTGCATCTACGAAGATATGTGGCAGACTGCAGATCTCATGTACTCTAAAGTTTATGGGCAGACCCTTTATAGAAAAGATCATGGCATCCTTCATTATGTGAGAAAGTGCTTTGGGAAGAAGCCAAGGTTTCATGACTCAGGCTGGTGAAAAACCCTGCCTCCATCCATAACTGTGCCATGGAATTGCTTTGGACTCATATACAACTAATTAGTCATAATGCCATACATATCACAACATTTGTTTGAATCTCAGGTTTTCCAACTGTTGAATAAAAGGTTCTCTTGGTCTATGATCATTGTCAGCATTGACTAAAGGAGTCTATATATGTTAGTATACAGATTGTTAATTATTCAATTAACAAAGAATAAAATCTATTCAATATATTATTCTCTTGTCTCTTAATGATCATCTATATTGGTTTTTTTTTTTTTTTTTGAGACAGGGTTTCTCTGTGTAGTCCTGGCTGTCTTGGAACTCACTCTGTAGACCAGGCTGGCCTCGAACTCAGAAATCCACCTGCCTCTGCCTCCCAGGTGCTGGGATTAAAGGCGTGTGCCACCACCACCCAGCTCATCTATATTCTTTAATTCTTTTTTTAAAACATTTTTTTTCAGAATACATAAAATTCAGTTGTAGGTTTACTGATTTATTTTATTCTCTTGTTGGATGAGGATAGGACATCTTTAGATTCTGGCAGGATGTGTTCATTAGTCCATGTGGGCTTATAAGACCTGAAAATAACTCAAGTTCCTTAATACTGTCACCATCAATCATTAGTTCTTCATACAATTAAAAAGACGAAAAATTCAAGTGGTATTATTTCTTGGTCAAGATGTATTTTTGCACAATACTGGGAGCCACCAAAGGCTAGATTTTAGATAAAGCATAAAATATTTTATTTCAGAGCTTCACTGTCCTATTTTTATTTCAATGTCAATAAAATAAGAATGGGCTGATAAGTCCTAGTTCATGTATAGCATTTGTTAGCACTAACATCTACTTTATGAGTCATGTGCTTATGTGTGTGCGAGTGTGTGCGTATATATGGGTGCTATGCTGGAATGTAGGATCTGGCACATGTTCATAAACATTGTACCACTGAGCTACACCACCAACCCTGCTTTATGATTCTTGAACAGCAAATACTACTGCATTAACAGGCAACAAATACTTTGAGTAGATTTAGCTTATACTTAGGAATTCTATAAACTAAAAAGCCTAGAAGGGAAAATGAAGAGCTTTAGGAGAGTTGAAGGAAAACTTGTACAGTTCAAAAGCACGGCAAATGAAATATGACCATAAGATAGAGCAGGGATGAAGCAATGGAAATATTAACAAACCTGAGAGGATTCAGATAAATCAATAAAGGGTGAAGATTTTGTCCTAAGGGCAAAGGTTCAGTTTTGCTCATGATGTGCTTAAGTAGTGAATCTGTTGGATTTATTGCAGAGAGATGCAACAGGATATTAAAGACAGTCCTAGTAACTAGGTGGTTTGGGATGATGTCTGAGGACATATGGATTATCTAGGACAACAGCTAATGTCTACCATAAAGAACCATGGAATCAACAAGTTGTGAGGCAAGTTATGTACTGAGGACAGCAATGAATATAGGCTAATAAAGAAGTCCACCGGGGAAAGGAATATATATTTTCAAAAACTATTTTGTAGTTATCTTTTCAATTTAGATTTGTAAAGCCACAATCATTATTCAAACTCACATCAACAATCATGTTGTCCTAGTACAGGAAATATTAAGGTTTTGTATATTTCTAAAGTGCACATCCTTGCAGGCATGTAAAAAAGAAGAAAAACTGTGAGCATTTAAAAAATAAAGTTGAAATTTTCACTGTCATATAATTTTTAAAGATTATCAATAAATCAAGAGTACATTTCTACATCATGAAATATAACTTTACAACATTTACATAACTACAATATCCAGAGTAACACAGCTCAGTAGTTTCATTAAATGTGTATTTAGCTCAACCTTGTTTACATTTTAAGTTGTATACTAATTTGGGAAGTATTTTCAGTCACATAGACATTTGAATGATACATTGATTTTCTAATAATAGATATTTCCTCCTTCTCCAAAGGTGTGTGAGCTACATTTGAGTAGGTTTATTATGGTAAGTATACTATATCACAACATAAAGCATAAAACATGAAACCTCCTTATAAATAATTGTAAATCTGAGAGAAGAAGAATCTATTTTCTTCTCTAGCAAAATATTTAAAGTATTTTGTATAGGTTAACACTACAATTTAAGGTTTCTTTAACAATTAATCTTCACTCAAGCTATTGACAAAATGTCTCAGCTCCAAACAAAACAAAACAAAACAAAACAAAACAAAACAAAACAAAACAAAACAAAACAAAACTCAGCTTTCAATGAATAGAACTGAGCACTGACAGTAGCCTAGACTTTTAAGTACTTTCTAGATCAAGAAAACACTCATCTATTTGTAAGCTTGATTCAAGGTCAATGTGAACAGAGTTTGTAGCAATGTTTTATTTTATTCAAAGAAGCAAGACTTGCATTTAGTTCAGATATCTGACTAAGAGCCACTGTTTACAGCTTCATTTGTACACTAAGCTCTTACATCTTTTAGAAGAGAATAACATAATAGTAAGTAAGGATTTGAGTACACAAAGACTTACATATAATTTTTTCAAGTGCTGTATGTTTGCTTCAGTGTGCGAAGCTTTAAATGAAGCTGAAGGACACTCATATAAAAGCCACTTTTGTCAAAGCCTTTCCTAACTCAGATGTATTCTCTTATGATGTACATGTGATTGACAAGCCAACTTTGGTGGAATGTACAAGAACTGTTTGGACTTTGTGGTTTTCTTAAATGAAATGAGTAAGCAAATGTGTTGTCTTAATAGGAAATAAAGTATGTTAGGCCTATTTGAGCTGCTTCAGTGTGCCAAAGATGCTGTTAATTTTGGTGTTCCTAAATTACTAATCTGGAATAAGAGGTTGAATGTATTTTGAAAACTTAAACCTGTTGTAGCTGAACATGTTTAACTAGTTAATAAGAAACATCAAAAAGACCAAACCCTGAGGTCAAGGGTCATTTTCTCTTTTTTTGTAAAGCGATTATATGCTGTTTAAATTGGTTATTCGGGTCTGTCTATAACATAAGTATAATAACCTAGCTCAAATGCAGATTTCTAATTTTCAATTAACATAGGAATAATTTTGTTTGCTAAAATAAAATAAATGAATGAATGACAAATCTGAAACATGAAATGTTCTAGGTAGAATTTTTTAAAATTCCAAATTTCAAAAAATCATGTGGCAACTGTATAGCTCAAGCTTTAAGTATTAACTTTTAACCTTTGACCTTACAGATTTTAACCAATGAAATGTCTCTTTAAACTTTAAAGGAAACAATGATAACGAGCGCCTGGCGATTGCTAGACAGCGAATTCCATATCGACTTGGTCGAGTAGTTGATGAATGGCTACTCGACAAAGGTAAAAACATTGATTAAAACTTCAAATAAAAAATAATTTGAACATAACCAAGTAGTACTTCATTGTAACACTAATAAACATAAAAAATAAATTTTCCGTAAAACTAAATTAAAAACAAATTTAAAACAGTAAAATGTAGATAGCAATATTTGCATACCTTGTATAATAATTTCTATACATTTTTAGAAGTACCAACGGTTTAATAATCTTACCCAGTTAACTTAAGGTTAAAGGGACTGTTAAATATAATCCACTAACTCAATCTATGAAGGTACGCAGAGCAAGCATTAACCAAAAATGATAAATCGTTTATAGATTATATCCATGATCCAGCCTCTAAATTATTAACTAAAATATATGTAGTTCGGATATCTTTATCATGGTCCTGAAAAAAAAAATCTGTGTTTAAACTCTAGGAATCTTAAATAGTGGGCAATATGGATTGCCAATCAAAATGAAGTCCCTTTAACGTTTGCAAGCTTCTGAGAACATCTGGGAACAAACCCTGATTAAAACTGAAGTTAAAGTTGTGTGCATGCTTTATGAGCAGAGGGAGCTGTGCTCATCCTGGAGTCTCCATCTGATGAGAGTGCTACTGTTTCTGGGATTGTTTGGTGGAAATGTGCCATGATTTCTCCATTGGTTTGTGTATCATTTCCGAAGCCGCTTTTTACATTTGAAGCTACTTTTTTTTTTCATTTTATTTTGTTCTGTTTTGATGGACTTGCTGAAAGCCAATCAGAAAAATATTTTTGAAACATCTTTCTTTTCTCTGACAAGCTCAGTGTAAACCATTCATTTCCTTTCAGTGTGATTGCCGGAAAATAGAGTAATTGAAGTAACAATGGATTATTGCCTTCCAAAATATAAACATTTCTAAAGAATAGCATGTATAGTTGTATGAGCATTACGTGAATTATGACATTTTTGCAATAAAATTTAAAATTAGACATTAGCTCCTACATATTAGTTTATTTCAGAGGTTATTTTAGGATAACAAATATTTGAAATGTTAGCTATGTCACACTTTTTAAATTTAGCAATTTAAATTCGAGAGACCAATAATAAGTTCTTGAGGCAAAGGAAAATGGGATCCACTAAAAACTGATTTGTAGTATATATGTTTGATTGGTCTTTTAGCAAAAGCACTACATTTATAATACGTTGATAATTTATAAGTACTTGCCAGTAATTGTGCATTTCATGGACACCTCATTCCTAAGCAATGAATTATGAGTCAAATGCCTCTCTTATAGTTTATTGCTCTCATTATCCACCCCATGAAAAATCTGTTTTATCATCCTTTGTAGAATGTAGAGTTCACAATCAACATTTTTGCATGTATGTAATATTATTTTTACAGGGCGTCAGCTCACAATCTTCAATAGCCAAGCAACCATAATTATTGGCGGGAAAGAGCAGGGCCAGCCCTTCCAGGGTCAGCTCTCTGGGCTTTACTACAATGGCTTGAAAGTTCTGAATATGGCAGCAGAAAACGATGCCAACATCGCCATAGTGGGGAATGTGAGGCTGGTCGGTGAAGTGCCTTCCTCTATGACAACAGAGTCGACAGCCACTGCCATGCAGTCTGAGATGTCCACCTCAATCATGGAGACCACCACAACCCTGGCTACCAGCACAGCTAGAAGAGGAAAGCCCCCAACAAAGGAACCCATCAGCCAGGTGAGCACATGCATGCCAGCCTTTTCTTTTGGATTTGTGATCACAAAAGTGGGCTTTTCTACGTGTGAGTCTTTTCTAAGCTGAATTTTGTTTCTGATCTCATGTGTTCATCTTTCTTGGAAATTTTGTACGCATTCCATCTTGTATGAATATGTGACGTGAGTATGTTGCTGATGGGAAGTTGCAGACCAAAAATAAGAAGGAAAGAAGAAAGAAAGAAAGAAAGAAAGAAAGAAAGAAAGAAAGAAAGAAAGGAAGGAAGGAAGGAAGGAAGGAAGGAAGGAAGGAAGGAAGAAAGAAAGAAAGAAAGAAAGAAAGAAAGAAAGAAAGAAAGAGAAGGAAGGAAGGAAGGAAGGAAGGAAGGAAGGAAGGAAGGAAGGAAGGAAGGAAGGAAGGAAAGATCAAGCTATGTGTTGGTTTGTTAGAGGCAAGCTTGATTTGATCACCTTGGTTTCCTGGTAGGTGAAGATTTGCTAATTATGCAAAAACATTTAAGGTTAGTAAGCAAGGAAAATACTAGCATATTTGAAAGTTTTGTGTTTAAGCATAGCAATTCATCAAGATAAAAGAGTTTAAGTTTTGTGGTGAACGATGGGCCTATTTTCTATTGATGAAAAAATGTTGATTGGGTTGTCTGATGGTGAAGATGGAAAGTATACTACTTAAAGTGTCTTGAGTGAATATATTTTGTATGATATGTAATTAATCACAGTTACATATAATTCACTTTAATGAGCTTATTATTAAATTTTATATAGAATTTGAAAAATACAATTTAGTTGGCATTGGTATAGTTTGGAAGTTTATAAATCTAGTGGTGAAATATTTATTGATTGCATAGATGATGCTCTAGCCCATTAGTGATTGGCCATACATCAGAAAAAAGTGAAGAAGACTAATTAAATTTTATTGCTGCTGTTGAGATGCTATTAAATGATTTGAGGTCCTTATTGATATTTGAAGGCATGTTATGTAATCACTTGTTAATTCTTACAGAATGTTTATTTTTCTTGGTTCAAGACTGGTGGTTTCATTTTTCTTTCAGTAGTGAAAATCTTCAGTAGGCACCACATAAAGATTTGTCAAATAGGTGATCCTTACTTATCTAGGAAACTGTATTTCAAACGAATAAACAAATGACAGCAAACATTTTAAATCTGCTTTTGGGTCAGTTATTTGAAACAGATTATCAGATTTGGAATGAAAACTTTAGGAAGCAACTTCTGTTTGTGTCAGTATTCTATCATTTCAGTAAGATATATTTCAGAGTAAAATAAAAAATATGTTCTGATCTTTACTTTGAATAAGATGGAATGATAGAAAATGAACAACCAAAGAAAAAAATAAGCACTTAACCTGGTGAAGAAGAAAATTGATCAAATATTGAAATAAAATTTATAAATGTGGTAGAGTGCTATACTGTATATTTTATAATAATATTCACCCATTTCTTATATCTCATTTGGGTTTTCTTTTTCATTTGCATCTGGCCAATAGGTAAAATGGGCTATTTCATAGGACACACCCTAATACACATTTATGGACTATTGATAACTGCCTACATGGACAGACTGTTTTATGGGAATAAGTACATAAGCATAAGCCCTTACTCTCATGACATTAATTTTTGTAGGAATATTTACTAGGAAGAGCATCATTTTGTTGGTTGTCTGTTCAACATTCAGATTTATGCTATTATTGATAATATAGCACTTAGCTCCTTCAATAAAGACTTGTGACCTTAGACAGATTAATGCTTGCTCATGCTGTTAGATAGTCTTTAGTGTATATTTCATTAGGAACTTCATGCTGTTCCGCTGATAAGCATCAACTTGGCAATGTAAATCTGAAAGAGGAAAATTTAAGTGTAAAATAATTTGTGTAATATTCCCTTTACATAAAGTTGTTCCAAAAAGAATATTCAAGTATATTATTCAGAGTTGGAAATGTTTCTCTAAAGACAATTTGAGGTAGTTCAGCATTTTTCTTAATAAGCCTGTAACATTGTTAATTAAATAAGTAGCCAAAATTTCTAGAAATACTTGAATGAGTTTAAAAAGAAAAAATAATGGTGATCATTATTATAATATAATTTATGAATTAATGTCTGCTGTGTATATAACAAAAATTATATGTGCAAGTAACTCTTTGTTTTAAAAAAATCAAATATAAATGTACTCAGGAACATTTTAGAATATTAATTAATACGAAGAGAAAATAGTTACATGCTTGTTAATTACCAATGAAAAGCATTTCTCAAACTTATTGCAAGTTCAGCAGCAGTAGTGGTTTACAGAAATAAAGAGTCCAATCAATTAATGATTATTTGATTCATTTTAGGAGATATTGATTTAAATTGAGGAGTAATGTGTTCTTGTACAAGTGGATATGTTAAATCTTTACAATTTTCACTGATCAATAACAACAATGAAATAATGAAATAATTTGAATTTATTCAGCTTTTAATGATATTCAGGTGGAGCAACAATGTGTTAAATTTAGAAATAATTTTTAAAATGCTTTTATAGTCACTTTTATAGTCACACATATAATGTATGATTTAAGTTGACAATTTAGCATATACTATAAAGAAAGGAAAATACTATGAAATAATACAAATTATATTTCATAATTTGATAATTTATATCAAATTTTTATTTCTATATTTAATATTTTAATTTTACTTTAATACAAAGGCATGACAGATAGATCTCGGGATAGATAGATAGATAGATAGATAATTAAAAATAATATGTAAATGATAACTAGGTATAGATTAGATAGAGATAGAGAGATGGGTGGATAGATAGATACATAGAGATATAAATGAATAGATATTCAATATTTTCTTGATTACAATCACATAAGTATAAAAATTTAATAATGAGTATTACAAATTCTATCTCTGAAAACTTTATCTACTTTTAAAATGTCAGGTTTAAACATCTGTCCTTAAACTTTCTCCGTAGTGACTGCATATGCCTGCTTTTATCAAATTCCTCACTAAATTGTGTACCAAAAGGGTTATTTAATTTTTCTAAATCTACATTGTACTTTATTTTCAATTCAACTATATTTTCCTCAGTAATAGCACTGAGCCACTTATGTGACAATGACAATGTACCTAATAGTATGGCATCTTTTAGAAATGTGGAAACAGATTTTTGGTCCACCAGGATTAAACTGAATTCATTTCAAATAGGTGAACTGACAGGGATTCAGCTATCCTGCAGAGCAAGGACTGGGTAAAAAATGTATTTTAGGTTGCAAGGTCAGTGAATACTGGAGTGTTCAGGTACCATCTGCAAAACTCTATCTATATCCCCACTTAAAAGTGAATACTATACGCTTTAAGAGATGAAAAGAAGAAGAATACTTCCTTCTGAGTGATGATTGGTTTTTATACTGGCCTCTTAACCTTCATGATTTAGAATAATGCAAAAACTAGAAATGACTAGTAAGATGAAATGGCTTTATTAAAACAACATTGAATATGACAATGTTTTCATGGGTTGCATAACATTTATATATCTTGGTTTGCTAGCATAATTAAATCAAAAGATCTCCATAAGACTTATTTACTTCCTTTAAGGCTATTCCCACAATGAAAAATATCGGCACAATTCGTTCTTAGGATGTAAAGAGCTATTTGGTGTTGGATACTGTTGTGCAAAAATTTTATCTGCTAAGTACTTTGTGCTATTCTGAATTCCTTCTGCATGGATCTTTAGGTAAACCACTGAAAAGGAGAGCATCAAATAATCTTAACACTTTTCTATTGTTTTTAAATGAAACTTATTTATTTATTGCTAATGGGCTGTTTGTTTTCAGATCAATATGATGATTTCCCCCAGACCTAGAATATTACTTGTAGCATAGCATTAATATTTTCTGTTCTTCCCTTCAATATTATTCTGCATACTATATATCAACTAGATAATTGTGAACCTTAGTAATTTTTTCTTACAGAAATATAGGACCAGAATATCAAATCAGAAACTGGGTTTTACTCTCAACACAAGCAGTGTCCTGTGTCCACAGTGCCCTGTGATGATAGACTAGTTAGCTTTCCTGCATGTTGTCATCGTTGCCTCTCTGTAATAAGTGAGTCACTGGGACTCTTTGGAGCTCATCTCAGATTTTATTTTTAATTGACTCTAGTCTCCATGTTCTTAATTAGTTTATTTTCTCATTATTTAACAAAGCATAGATTTTACCCCATTTTTTTTGATAGGATGGCCACACATCCCACAAGTCTCTAAGAGTGCCTGTATATACACATTACTTTGATATAATTGGCGAGAATCTCTCTTTTTGAGTCTCAGAAACATTTTTCTCAGTATATAAAATTTACTGTTCTGTGTTCCAATTTTACATACATAAAACAATCTTGCAAGAGAATAATACTTCCTAAAAATAATAAATATTGTATTTCATTCAGCATATATGTAGCTGAAGCTTGTTGTAGCATCTTGCCTTGGTCTTTAGAATCAACAACTTTTCATCATTTTATTGCAAAAGAATCTTGAGAAACTATGAAAAGCAATGCTTCGAGAGATTCTGAGTTTTGACATAGTGGTTTTGTTTTTATTGAATGGATGTATTACAAACAATTGGAAAATTATTATAGAAACAATCACTCAGTGTAGACAGGGTGTCTAGGCGGCTCTCTCATTCAATATAGACAGGGTGTCTTGAGGGCTTTCTCAATCACTGTAGACAGAGTGCTTGGGGGGCACTCTCAGGATCTAAGGTCAGTTTTTTCAGGTAAAGTCAGTACACTTCTTCAAGAAAGGTACTATTGAGTTACAAGCCTTAGAGATAGGTTGTATGTCACACCTGTCACTGATACTTGGCACTCATTCAAGTTCTTATTTAAAAAAAAATTAGTGTTCAAGTGAGAAGAAAGGTTTAATGTTTTCATTAATGGTATTGCTTCCTTGACACTTTTGAGCTACTCATGAAAAGTGAAAACTATTTGTTTTAAAAATATAAGCAGA